AAGACGTTTTGAAGGTTTCTGAACATTTTTAAAGGGTATACCTCAGAAAATAAATGGATGTGTGTGTGTGTGTGTTCAGAAAGATTTATCAAAATCCGAATAACCGTTTAGGAGAAGTATCAAATCAACCATATATCAAAATCCAAACTAAAATCCGGAGAATGAAAGGTGTGAACCTCAGAAACTAATTCGATGTGTGTGTGTGTGCGAGTGTGTTTTGTATGTCCGCATTTTTTCGTCCATGTTTTCGGGCGCACGGATCACCGATCTAAATGATTCATTTACCATTCGATCCCTATTGATAGGGAGATGTGCTGATTAATTTTTGGCAAAGGCAGTTCAAGCCGTTACGGAGATACGGAGCAAAGAGTGCAGAAAATACAAATCGAGTTCTTGGAGTATCGGATTTGCATGATCTAAAAAAAACAATTACATTCAATTTGTAATGATGATTAGTTTTAGGCAAAGACAGGTCCCGCCATTTCGAAGATACAGAGCTAAATGTGCATAAAATGGCAGTTTTTGAGTGAACTAAGCGTCCGATTTGAATGATCTAAAAAACTATACAATTATTTATTTATTATTATTTACTGCTTGCCAGTAGAGTTTTTGTTCTAAAAAATGGACATTTTACTTTGCTCATCCGTAGCGTCCCTTTTCTATGAAGTGTTTTTAATTTCAGTTTGCTCGTCAGTAGAGTCCCTTTTTCATAAAATGGGATTTTTAGTTTGCTCGTCAGTAGAGTCCTTTTCCATTACAATTGCCTTCTTTTTCAGTTTGCTCATCAGTAGAGTCCTTTTCTATGAAATTGTCTTCTTTTCAGTTTGCTCGTCAGTAGAGTCCTTTTTCTAATAAATTGTCTTCTTTTATAGTTTGCTCGTCAGTAGAGTCCTTTTTCTATGAAGTGTTTTTAATTTCAGTTTGCTCGTCAGTAGAGTCCTTTTTTATAAAATTGTCCTCTTTTTAAATTTGCTCATCAGTAGCGTCTCTTTTCTACTCTATTAGAGAAAATTTTCTATTACATTTAAATTTTCTAAAAAAGTTTTTCATTTTAGTTTGCTCGTCAGTAGAGTCCCTTTTCAAGTATTCATTTTGTATTTTGCTCGTCAGTAGAGTCCTTCTTATAAAAATGTCTATTTTGGGCTTGTATATTATATTATATACATACATATATATATATATATATATATATATATATATATATATATATTATATTGACAAAACAATTGCTTTTGAGGATAAAAAATTATTACATCTTTTTTTATTTTCCATAAAATATTTTTGTAATTTTGGATTAAAAATTCAAATCAAAAAATTACCCAGGCTAAGCACAGTCTAAGCGTCACTCTGGTACAAATGTTTACCCAAGTGCGTTTAGAATGTTACTGTATTGGAGCACTTTTTCACAATTTTGTGAAAACTATTGAAAAATGTGAAAATGCCGCCAAGCTGAGCACAGTATAAGTGAAAATGTCGTACAGAATTATTTGCAAATGCGTTTAGACTGTGACTATACGGGAGCAATTTTTCAATTTTGTGTAAATTAGGCAACTATTTTTTTTTTGAAATTGAATTCGAAATGAAATGACGATGGGAGATAAATTGATTTATGATTTATGATTTACATTTGATTTGCTCACTCAGATATAGCAAACGAGATAGCAAAAATAATGAAAGTTACAGAGTATTTGTAATAATATATTTGAAAACGTTTAAAATTTCTCGGGAATATTTCATCCCGGTACGGGAAGTTCCAGCAGTTTGCCTTGAGGCACGATGCAATACGCCACTAGTTATGATATCGTTTATCTTTTACCCTCAGGTGGAAGACGGGGATGTGATCCTGGTGGCCACCGATGGTGTCTTCGACAACGTCCCCGACAGTGTTCTGCTGCAGGAGCTGTCGAAGGTGCAGGGCCTGAAGGATTCGGTCACGTTGCAGAGGACTGCCAACACGATTGCGTGGATGGCCAGGAATCTGTCGTTTGACGGGTCGTATAATTCGCCATTTGCCAAAAATGCCAAGAAGAATGGCATCAACATCGTCGGTAAGATAAATGATAATTAATAATACTTACATATATATATATATATATATATATATATATATAATACTAGCAAATCCGACGAACTCCGTTTCGCCACCAGATGGTTTCGTGAGAAAGATGAAGAAATTTTTTGTTTGTTTTAAATTTGAAAAGGAAAAATTTAATTTTATTATACAACAGTAATAAATTTATTTCGATTACAAAAATGAGGTGTTTTTTAGTTGAACTTTTCTAAGTAAATGAGAGTGAAACCACATTTTTTGTTTTTTGGTCTGACCTAAACACACACAAAGCGGATGGTTTTCCAACTCGTGAACAGGCAACGTATAACTGTCCAAAACAATGATTTTCTAAATAATCTATTTGAAATTTATCCCGCAAACACTACGCGATTGGCCTTGAGACTTGTTATTGCGAACGCAAGGCGAACTGGATATTGCAATCGTTTGAAGTCAAACGGAAGACCAGTCGGAATCATTGGTATGTCACCAAATCGCCAGCAATTTTTTATTGAATGGTGAAATTCAAAGCGTGTACATCATTATTCTTTGCGGCAAGAATTGCCCGTTGACTTAACCAAGCATAATTCTGATAATTCTCACTATAGTCCTTACTCGAATTTTTAATTACGGTGCGTGAAGTTCCAGCAATTTGCATTAGGGCACGATGCCATGCACCACTAATTTTCTTAGCTATAAACCTTGCGGAGCCCGAGACCTTTCCAACGAATACAAAATTGTCGAAATCGGTTCGTGCGTTCTGGAGTTATTTCGTCAGGAAGGAAAACCCGACTTATTTTTATATATATATATATATATATATATATATATAATATATATTATATATATATTATATATATATATATATTATATATATATTATATATATATATTATATATATATATATATATTTTATATATATATATATATATAAAGTTCGAACCCATACTCTTCCGAAACAGCTTTACCGATTTTTACCAAATTTTATATACGAATTCAGTAGGTTTGTGAATCGGCTACTATCTACTTTTCATACCCCTAAGTGATATGGGTAGTTCACCCTTAATTTTTTTTGTGATTTTTGGACGGATTTTTTTGTTTTTATTCTTTTATAATGTGGCATTAAAAATACATACAACCCAAAATTTTTACTTTTTTCTCACCAACCCCTATTTTTTTATAGCCGTTTTAGCAAATCAATCATTTTTTATCCCGATGAATATTTTTGGCATAATTTTATTTCAGATTTTTGAACTTGAAGAAAAAGCTTAAATTTGTCTTTAAAATACAATTTATTACTATTAAGGGTTGTCTAATCCTAATACTTTTTTTAATTTTGGGGTCAACTTTTTTTATTTTAATTTTATTTCAATGCGGAATTTACAAAATATCTACAACTGTTTTTACCTCAAAATACTATATTTTTGATAAATGTCTTCAAAATTTTCAAAAATGTTAAAAAAAAAACAATATTCTTAAACAAAACTTTATTTTTTTCTGCTGAGTTTTTAAAAGTTTTACTAAAAGCTATTATGAAATAGAGATTTGTGGAAAGAGGGTGAAAATTTAGAGTTGCATGTTCATTTTAATTTCGCATTATATTCCAAAATGAAAAAATAGGGGTGGACAAACCTTGATAAAAATAAATTGTCTTTCGAAGTAAAAATTGAACTATATAGTTTTCAATTTTAAATTATGGAAAATAAAATAAAGAAAATTAGTCTAGAAATTAAAAAATAAAATATTGGGGGTTGTTCATCCTCTTCAAAAATAAATAACATTTTCAAGCAAAAGGGGTATATATTTTTAAATTCCGCATTAAAACATTACAAGAAAAAAAATGACCTCATAATTGAAAAAATGTGGTGGGGTTGGACAACCCTTATTGAAAATAAATTGTTTTTTTAAAGTAACATTTAACAAAATTTTATATACTCAAAAAAAATCTTAATTAAAAATATGTCAAAAAAGATCAAATTCAAACTTAAAAAAAAAAATTGATTCCAAAATTTAAAAATATAGAGGTAAACAACCCTTGATAAAAATAAATTGTCTTTTGAAATAAAAAGTGTACTATTTAGTTTTCAATTTAAAATTACGGAAAATGAAAATGAAGAAAATCGGTTCCAAAATTTAAAAAGATTATTAGGGTTGAACAACCCTTAATAAATTTAATAGTATCTTGTAGTAAAAAGAAAAATATGTTTTTTTCAATTCCGCATAAAAAAATTAAATTGAAGAAAATTGGCCCAATGGTAAAAAAAATGTTAGGGTTGGACTACCCTTAATAAAAATTATAAAATAACATTTAACCATTTTTATATAATCAAAAAAATCTTCACTAAATTATGTGAAATGAAGGTCAAATTAAAACTAAAAAAAAATGACTTCAATATGTAGAAAAATGTTAAGGGTGACACCTTTTGATAAAAATAAATAGTATTTTGAAGTAAAAAGAATTGTATGATATTTTGTCAATACCGCATTAAAAAAAATAAAATAAAGTTGACACCAAAATTAAAAATTTTTTTTTTAATACTTTAATACTTAAGTATTAGGGTTGGACAACCCTTAATAAAAATAAATTGTAATTTAATGTGAGATTTCAGAATCTAAACTAAAATTATGTCGAAAATATTCAATGACTGAACGCCGGCTAAAAAATGATTGAATTGCTAAAATGACTATAAAAATATAGGGGTTGGTGATAAAAATGTAAAAAGTTAGGGTTGTATGTACTTTGGAAAGCCACATTATAAAAAAATAATAACAAAAAAAAAATCGTCCAGATCATTTGAACAAAAAATTTATCCCTTATCACTTAGATGTATGAAAAATAGGTAGAAGCCGATTTTTAGACCTACTGAATACGCTTATAAAATTTAATAAAAATCGGGAAAGCTCGCAAATATTGTGGCATATATATATATATATATATATAATTTTTTTCCAGGTGGGAAGCCAGACGACATAACAGTGCTCCTAGCAACAGTCGTTCTATGAAATTCACCCTCGAGCCGTCATCCATCTATTCATCCCTTCGAACGATATAGGCAGTGTCTAAAAAAATCATTTTTTAATGAAGTTCACTACTCATTCGATTCGATCCGATCATTTTTTTATCTATCATTCAGGTTTGTTGTTTAGCTTTAATTAAATCTTGTATATAATTCTTTTTAGCTAGCTGGCTCTATGAGTTCTAAATAGGAAATTTAATTTTAACAAATAATATATATATTGTGTACGTTTATTGTTTTAGTTTTATTTTGTTTATTTATAAGTAGCTTGTATTTTAATTGATATTAGAGAACAAACTCATGGCCACATTAATGTATGTATATTCATCGGAACAAAAAAAACGTAAAAAAGGCCTTAGTAGAAAGGGTTACATGTAAGTGTATAAGCCAGCTCGCTGTATAACAGAAAATAATAAATATACAGATCTGTTATTAATTTGCTTAATTGCAACAAAGTACTATTAATAGTATATACTACTGATGTACCGATTTATCCCACTTCTGGTTTGTTAGACGGAGAGCTGAGCGCAAATTCGTTTGTAAAATATTAATCGAGCGATTCTGTAATGTGAAAATGTCTATTTGTCGTGCGATAAGACGTATTTTACTTATAAACAAGCAAGGAAGCATGCATCAAGGAAGATTCTGTTATAATAACATTCTTCCTTGCTTTGTTTATATGTAAAATACGCCTGATCGCACGGCAAATAGATAGACATTTTCACAGTTTTACTACCAAGCAATAAGATAGCGTTGCTATTTTATGAGGCAGAATTGTCCTCTAATACCGTTGATTACAAGAATCTTTTTTTTAAACATAATTTTTTTTTAAATTAAATTGCTGACGCGTATGCACAAACTATGTTGATCATATTTATTATTTTTGTTTAGATGAATACATTTAATTAGGAGATTCTTACGTATAAATGCTATTAAAATATCAATCAGTTTTTCTAGTTCGGTGCATCATTAATATATACTATTTATATGTTTTACTTTCATTGCCATGTATACAAAAATCGTAAAATGAGTTGTACTATGCATAAGGTTTTAGACAACTCTAAAAATAATACAAATTTGTTATTTTATATTTTAGTTTATGACTTGTATTAGGACACAGTACTATTAATAGTGTATATTGCATTTTTTAATTGAATCTCTTGTAACATTTTAAATGTTTTTTTTAAATATCACAAAAATAAGGCTTAAAATAAAAACTAAGGCTTAAAATATAATATAAAACTTTTGTACTATGTTCTAATATTTTAAAGACAAAATTCTGGACTAATACTTAAGTCCTGACAAGATTTTTGGACTTTTAACAGTGTTTGCAGACAGTTCAGAATATTTCCAGACAGCCCACAGTTTTTTTTTCAGACTGTCCACAATTTTTTTCCAGACAGCCCACAAAATTTTCAGACTGTTTACAGTTTTTTTTCTCAGACAGTTCACAATTTCTTTTGGGTCGTCCATATTTTTTTTAACAGACGGTACACAATTTTTCCAGGCTGTCCACAATTTTTACAGACATTCTACAAAATTTTCAGACAGTCCACAAAATTTTGAGACAGTCCACAGTTTTTTCAGTTAGTACACAGTTTCTTTCAGACAGTCCACAATTTTTTTTCAGGCTGTCCACAATATTTTATAGGCCGCCCACAATTTTTTTCTAGACAGCCCACAATATTTTTCATACTGTCACAGTTTTTTTTAGACAGCCCAGTTGTTTTTCAGATTGTCCACAGTTTTTTCTAGACACCCCACAAATTTTTTCAGGCAGCCCACATTTTTTTTCAGACAGTCCACATTTTTTCCGATAGTCCATATTTTTTTTGTCGGACTGCCCATAATTTTTTTTTTAGACAGCCCACATTTTTTTTTCTAGGCAGCCCACATTTTTTTTCTAGGCAGCCCACATTTTTTTTCTAGGCAGCCCACAATATTTCCAGGCAGCCTACAATTTTTTTTGTCGGACTGTCCACAATTTCTTATTTCAGACTGTCCACAATTTTTTTCCAGACAGCCCACAATTTTTTTTGTCAGACGGTCCACATTTTTTTCCAGACGGTCCACATTTTTTTCCAGACGGTCCACATTTTTTTTTCCAGACACCGTACAATTTTTTCCAGACACCGTACAATTTTTTCCAGACACTACAATTTTTTCCAGACAGTCCAGAATATTTCCAGACACCGTACAATTTTTTCCAGACACTACAATTTTTTCCAGACAGTCCAGAATATTTCCAGACACCGTACAATTTTTTCCAGACACCGTACAATTTTTTCCAGACACCGTACAATTTTTTCCAGACACCGTACAATTTTTTCCAGACAGTCCAGAATATTTCCAGACACCGTACAATTTTTTCCAGACAGTCCAGAATATTTCCAGACACCGTACAATTTTTTCCAGACACCGTACAATTTTTTCCAGACACCGTACAATTTTTTCCAGACACCGTACAATTTTTTCCAGACACTACAATTTTTTCCAGACAGTCCAGAATATTTCCAGACACCGTACAATTTTTTCCAGACACTACAATTTTTTCCAGACAGTCCAGAATATTTCCAGACACCGTACAATTTTTTCCAGACACCGTACAATTTTTTCCAGACACCGTACAATTTTTTCCAGACACTACAATTTTTTCCAGACAGTCCAGAATATTTCCAGACACCGTACAATTTTTTCCAGACACCGTACAATTTTTTCCAGACACCGTACAATTTTTTCCAGACACTACAATTTTTTCCAGACAGTCCAGAATATTTCCAGACACCGTACAATTTTTTCCAGACACCGTACAATTTTTTCCAGACACCGTACAATTTTTTCCAGACACCGTACAATTTTTTCCAGACACCGTACAATTTTTTCCAGACACTACAATTTTTTCCAGACAGTCCAGAATATTTCCAGACACCGTACAATTTTTTCCAGACAGTCCAGAATATTTCCAGACAACCGAAAATTTTTTCTCGACAGTCCACAATATTTTTTTGGACAGACAACATTTTTTGAACAGACTACAATATTTTGAACAGACTACAATATTTTTGAACAGACTACAATATTTTTTGAACAGTGTACATTTTTTTATCAGACTTCACAATTTTTTTAGACTGGTCACATTTGTTTTCAGACTGTCCACAAGTTTTCCAGACAGTCTACAAATTTTTTCAGACAGCCCACTATTCCAAAACCACCTGACTGTCTCTAAAAACACCAGACTATCTCCAAAACCATCAGAACAGTTTCCAAAACCAAACAGGCCTTTTCAAAACCGCTAGCACAGTCTCCAAAACCACGAGGACAGTATACCAAACCATCAGAACAGTCTAGAAAATTATTAGACAACTCAAAAAAATAGATCTACAGTAGTAATTTTAAATCAAAGTTAAATAAAAAAAATAAAACTATTTATACTACGTGTCCTAATACAGGTCAATACTTAATTCTTATGTACAACGGATAAAAATTACATCCGATAGTCTATAAATCCTAATTTTAAGACGACGATAAAAAAAGCAAAAAGGTTCATTAAATTAAATTAGTAGTAAACCATATCCATTCTTATGGTAAATGACTGATTAGAAATATGTTATGCAATCGGTAACAATTTTATAAAACACTATTGGCTAATATTGTAGAAGTACGCAAGGAAAATTTTCCCAAATTTTGTTTTTGGTTTGGAATATGGTTTACCCAGAAACCAGGAAGATGTGGATGATCGATGGAAGAATTGGAAGAGGATATAATTGTAGGACTACTAGGCTGGTGGTGAGTCCTGTCATTATTATTTATATATATACAGTGGTACCCCGTCTTGCGAGTTTGATCACGCTCGCATGTCGAATCGAAGCAATTTTGTCCATATAAATGCATTGAAATGCCATTTAGTGGGCAATTTTGTTAGTTAAAATGTCTCTAGCACAGCCTGTTTGCTGTGCGATCAGGCGCATTTTTCGTAGCAGAGCAAGAAAGAATCTTATGATAACTGTATCATTTATCTAGAATTCTGTTATCACAAAAATCGAAAGCCTCTCAGCGGCACGTTCTCGATTTTTGCTCGTATGACGAATCGCTTGTAAGACGAGGTACCGCTGTATTTTATTTACCTCGATAATTCTTCCTCGATGATCTACTTCTCCTGTTTTTTTTTTCACTTAGATGCTAACTAGTAAGCTTTTTAAGAGCTAGTCAGTGTTCATTCAACGACGTTTAGAGTGTGATAATAATATAATAGTGATGATAATTATTATGATATGTACTTTTTTGTTGAATACGAGGATGAGAAAAAAATTTCTCGACATTAATATATTTTACACCACACCACATTCGTTGAGTAGTGTTGAGTTACAAGTTTTATTAATAAATGAAATAGCTGCTACATGATGTGTTTGGTAATGAATATTATTTTAATCCTTTGACGACCTGTGTGTACGTGTGTCGCCGATAGACTACAACCAATGTGTTTACTTATGATTCAATATTCATTACTCTGAATTAAATTGTTGAGAATTGTAATTTGTTTGTGAGGTTTTTAGCTTTTTTTTCGATTGGAAAATCTGATATTAATTGTTTGTACATCAGTGTTCATTGTTAACTTTTCAAATGTGATTATTTTTATTATCCAATTAATTATCTTTTATTTTGCTCGTCAGTAGAGTTCTTTTTTGATCTTTTTTAGATTACTGTTTTAATCTATTTTATTTCTTATTTGATATTCAGATTGCCCATCAGCAGTAAACTTTTCGGATTTTACGTTTTTTAATTTAGTTTGGCCATCAGTAGAGTCCCTTTTCTATTTATTGTCTCCGTATTTCAGTTTGCTCCTCAGTAGAGTCCCTTTTCTATTATTCTTTCATTTTAGTTCGGTCAGTAGAGGTCAGTTATATTTTTTTATAATTAATTTGGTTGTCAGTAGAGTCCCTTTTCTAATTTACTCGTCAGTAGAGTCCCTTTTCTAATTTACTTTACTCGTCAGTGGAGTCCCTTTTCTATTTTTATAGTAATCGCAAGTTATAGTAATCGCAAAAAATCGAAAATGAAAATGGTTATATATCTTTACGTTTCAGAGGTTTCTGAACATTTTCTCATACCTTAGAAAAAATTGATGTATGTGTGTGTTCGTGAGTGGGGATACAAATTTTGTCGACGATTTCGGGAACATCGATCAACCGATTTGAATAATTCAAAAAACATTCAATTCATATTGATAAAGAGAGGTGCTTCTTGGTTTTTGGAAAAGGCAGGTCTACCCATTTCGAAGATACGAGGCAAAAAGGGCCAAAAATAGTATCTCAGTTTTTAAGAGAACGGAGCGTCCGATTTAAATAATTCAAAAAATATTATATTTTTGGGAAGGCAGGTCCAGCGGTTATGGACTCTCAATAAAAATAAGTTAAAAAAAAAATGCTTTTTGGCATGGACGCGGCGCCCACGCGCTTCCATATTTCGTTCTACGCAGCTAACGTATCGCAATTTGCTTTTAAAAACAGCTCAAAATTTCCAAAATATTTCAAATTATAAAAAAACTTAACTAACCTTTTCAAAAAAGTCTATTGTTTCCAAAAATTTTAAAAATTTCAAGAATCCATATTTTTCAGAGTTCTAAAAGAAAATTGAATATTTTTTAAACATTTTAATTTTTGGTACGGGAAGTTCGAGCAATTTGCTTTAAGGCACGATGCCATGCACCACTAGTCTATATTTTAGTTTGGTTGTCAGTACAGCCCCTTTTCTATTTAATGCTTTGTATTTCAAATTTCTTGTCAATGACCTTTTTTGTATTTATTCTTTCATTTTAGTTTGCTTGTCAGTAGAGTCCTTTTTCAATTATATATTTCGTATTTTGCTCGTCAGTAGAATCCCTTTTAATCATTCATATTATTTTG